CTATTCAATAAAAAATAGAAAATTATTTCAGTCATATGCATTTCTTCTGTCTAGGATTGTAGGCAGATGGATCAATAGTGCAACTCGTAAAAATGGACTTCAATGCAAAATTGAATGTAGCCTCTCATCTCTGCACCAAGTTTTTCCCTACAAACTGGCAAAGTTGGTTTAACTAAGCAAAAAGCAAGCTGTTTGAGAATTGGGGTCAGAAGGATGTGGAAAATCTGTTTCTCTTTCAGTGACTGGAATGAATACTCTATTGCCAGTGAACAGAGAAGGATGTCTTCTTGTTCATAGCTGATGTGGCTGCCCTAAAGTCATTCATGGATACTCCCCATGGCTGCAGAGCTAAGGAATAGTCTAATTGGGAAACAAAACAGTGGAATCCATCTTGCTGCCTAGAGTTTAACTGCTAGCCTCTTGAACTTGGTCTTCCATCTCCACCTCTGCTCTGGTCCATTGACCACATGAGCTGGACTTTGCAACAGATTTGGACTGCCCCCTTCTGTAAATTGACTCTGGTCCTGGTAAAATATTTGTGTGTTGCCTTATTTGTAAATATTTGTGTGTTATTTTACAACTGTAACTACACACACACACATACACAAACCAAAAATATCTTACTGAAAAATGTGGAAGCAAAATTCACTTTTGCTGTTTGTCAAATAGCAAGATAAGACTGAGGTAGAATCCTGTCTTAGACTCCTAAAATTTAACTGATTCATGATTTATGAGCATTCCACCTAAAGGAAGAATCAATAGTGAGAAGGAAAAGAGTAAGGGAGAACAATCCAATAAGTAACTTGAAGCCTGTAGCACATTATTACTTTTCTGAAGTTCTCTATTACCACTTTATATATAGTAGGCACTCAATATATATTTGTTATTTGTATGGGATTAGGATATTTTTTCTTCTTTAGTAATCTTTAAGGAACATTTTGCCTTACTATATTTATTACATAATTACAGTATTTGGTGCCAGGTGCTCAACTGGAAGAAATGATTATTTTTAAATAGCCCTTGATTTTTGAAATGATCCACTGTGTTCCAGGCTCTGCCCCTTCAGTACTTGCTAACCGTTCCTCATGAGACCACATTTGCACTGCCCATAGCAATGGCTCTCAAATTCTGAATTCCTTTGGAACCTCATTTTAAAATGCAGTTTCCTTGGAATCTTCACTCACAATGTTCTTTCCATCTGAGAATGGACCTAGCAACCTACATTTTAGCAAGTACCCTGGGTGATCCAGATGTAGATGATCTGTGAAGCATATTTTAGAAACCGATCCATAGAGTTGACTGAACCCTAGTCTCTGGGACCAGCCTTGTTTAGAGCAGAAAGAAGTTGAAGAACCAACAGTACATTGCTGTGCAATCATGATGGTGCTGTCCAGGAACAATATCTTGTTTCTGTACTCTCTATTTTGTCCTCTTCCCTGCCTCATGCCCAAAACCCAGCTGGTCTTGCCTTGGATTGTAGTAACTAGTCCATGATATTCCAAGACTGAATTGGCTACTAGATGGAGTGTTTTCAATTACTAAATCCAATATTTAGTGTGCTGTCTGTCTACCTGGTCCTCCACCAATGACCAAACTCCATCTGTATACTTTTTTGAATTCTACCAATGTCTACTGCTTAGACATTCTCTTATTCCCTATTTCGCCCATGTGGGTCTGTTTGATGGCACATCCCAGCATTAAAACCTCATTCTTAGTGGCATACAGCCCCAACTAAGAGTGCTGACTGTCCAGAATTAGGCAAGATAATGGGATAATCACCAGGTTGGTTACCCTAAAAAAGATAATGTTCCTCTGTATGTGTGGTAAAATGAAAGACCATGCCAATTTGTTTAGCATAAGAGATTTTGGAAGAGGGAACCATTAGAGAAGTTTGGGAAACAACTTGAGATACATCATTTTTGTTATATAAACCTGTTATCAAGATTGGCCCAATGTAGATTAAATAGAAGTGCTCTTAATTGGCCTTCAGGCGAATACAGTGGGTTGGGATTAGCACACCCTCTGTAGAACCCTCATATATCATGCTGAAATAATGGATACCAATAATGTGGCATCCCTCTATTCTAGCCCCTTCCAAAGGGACTTTTGCAGCCAAAAAGAACTGCTAAATTAGATCTACTTCCTTTCTGGTCATTGAGGCTAGTACTGAGGAGGCTTGAGCTTGAGGCAGTGAATTCAGGTGCTCAGTCACCTTACTAAACCACTTATATGAGATGGTTTATGTGCTAAGGAGAGAGAGAGAGGACATGGTCCAACCAGAGATATGTTTATACAGTACCTGCTTAAGGAATACGGCTGAAATGAGTATTGCTCACAAAACTGGTACCTTCCCAAATTGTTACTCCACCTATTGAGAGCTGAACTATTTTACTTGACTACAGAGAGAAGCTTCAGAGAAGAGCAGAACAAACTTTAATGATTTCTTTCTCTGTCTTGGTTCATTCATTTAGTCAACAACTGTGTGTTTTAATCCTTTCTATAGCTAGGAATAAACAGCTCTGGCCTCTCCCTCAGAGAGCTTACTAGTGTGTCGTAGAGTTTAGGTCATGAATTTATGTGGACACAGATCTACCAAGGACTTCTCTTACTCTTTCAGCTGCCTATATCTGATGAAAACGACACTGTGAATACTGGATAGGCAGGAGAAGTAGTCAGAAGTGCCCCCTAGGGAAACCAAACCGGAAATTCACTTTCCAGTGGATAAACACAGCTTGATGTTTATGCTAAAATGTTAATCAACAAGAGGAAAGAACAAAAGTGCCCCCAGATTGAACGGAAAGTGTCTCATGGATACAATAAAGCAGACAAATTGCTTTGGTAGGCTTATGTAAGAGGTCCTTTGTGTTCCCTCCTTATGTCTACTAGGTAAGATGAAGATTAATTGAAATGCCAAGTGCTATCTAAGCTAATAGTTTTATTAGCTTAAACCAGAAGTTCAGCCACCTGGAGGACTTGCTAAAACATAGATTGCTCAGCTCTGTAACCAGAGTTTATTTTTTAGTAGCTCTGGGATGGGGCTTGAGAATTCACATGTTCCCAGGTGTTGCAGATGCTGCTGGTTCCAAGTCCACGCTGTGAGAACCACTGGCTTAAGCAGACAGTTTCAACAACCTTGAAAGTGTTGCTCCACAAAGCAAATCGGCAGTACTACTAATTTCTTTTAAAGATGGAGTCTCGCTATGTTGCCCAGGCTGGAGTGCAATGGCACGATCTCAGCTCACTGCAACTTCTGCCTTCCAGGTTGAAGCGATTCTCCTGCCTCAGGCTCCCTAGTAGCTGGGATTACTAGTATGCACCCGGCTAGTTTTTGTATTTTTAGTAGAGACAGGGTTTAACCATTTTGGCCAGGCTGATCTCAAACTCCTGACCTGAGGTGATCCTCCCGCCTTGGCCTCCCAAAGTGCTGGGATCACAAGTGTGAGCCACTATGCCCGGCCTACACCACTAAATTTAAGATGTTTAAATACCTGCTGTTTTTCTCACTACAAAATAATATATATGTATACCAAAAAAAGGTTTTTAATAAAAAATAATAAACTTATTTAATGACCTATGTAAATTTGAAACCACCCAAAGATAGCCATTAATAACCTTGCTTTGCATTTTTATAAAATGTTTCTTATGTATGTTTGTGTATGCATATATATGTGATATTCTCTCTAACATATGTACATAATATTCTCTCTCTTCTCTATATATATAAATATCAAAATCACTAGCATCATCTTTTATTTTTTTGAGACAGAGTCTCATTCTGTTTACCAGGCTGGAGTGCAGTGGTGCATTCTTGGCTCACTGCAACCTTCTTCTCCCGGGTTCAAGCGATTCTTGTGCCTCAGCCTCCCAAGTAGCTGAGATTACAGTCACATGCCACCACGCCTGGCTAATTTTTGTATTTTTCAGTAGAGACAGGGTTTCATCATGTCAGACAGGCTGGTCTCGAGCTCCTGGCTTCAAGTGATCCACCCGCCTCAGCCTCCCAAAGTACTGGGATTACAAGCGAGAGCCATCACACTCAGCCTGGAATCATCTTATGAATACCATTCTATAACTTACACTTTTCATTTAATATGTATTTGTAAACATCTTGCTAAGTCAATATACTTGTATGATACAATTTAGTACATCTTTTGAATGAACATTTAGGTTATTAGGCAATTCTTTCAAAGAAACCAATTCAGCATAAGTATTTTTGGAAGTATTTGCATCCTTAATTATTTCCTAAAGACAAATTCTCAGAAGAAAAAAATGCAAAGTAAAAAGTTATATAGATATTTAGGGCTCTAAATACATATTGCCTGATTAGGCTTCTAATGCTAGATCATTTTACACGCCCATCAGCACTCTATGGTTATTTTCTCACACCTTGACATAAGGCTGAGTACATATTTGTTCATTGTTTTTCTGTGAGAGGTTTCTTTTACCAATTTAATAGAGAGAAAATGCTCTCTTGTTTACATTTTGAATTTTTTTTTTTTAGTTACCAGTGGGGTTACTAGTAGTATCACATTCAGAGATGTCATACTTCTTTTTATTGTAGGGGTGTGAATCTGAAGCTTAGGATTATGCTATCAATTCTTGACAGAGCAGTTATTTGGTTTGAGGCTTTACATGTTTGACACTTTTAAGGTCTAGCACATCATTTTTCTTTGATATGAACAAACAAATCTCAGAGTAGATCAGCTTTTGTTGTATTATGTAAACTTTGAGAAAGTAAATTGGCTGCAAAAATTCTTTATTTTGAATTGATCTGATGCGATATGGAGTCTCATTTCTCAGCCTATGAATAATTTGTTGTAATATAATTGATCTAATTTTACTTAGGAAATCAACTATCCACTGTGACCAAAAGAGAAAACTGATGGAGCAATGTATCTTGTTATCTATTGATTAATATTTATACAGTGACCATGTGATGTGAATACTAAAATGAACTTTCTTGGTGATACACTAAATTGAACTTTCTTGTTGATACACAGGGACTATTAGGTGAAAAATATGGGAATATCCGAATCCCTGGAGAAGTTGAAGCCTCAGAGTTTGAAATGATTTTGGATGCCGCCATAGAGGCAAAGCTGGAGACCAAGTTGCTGGAGGAGTGGTACTGTCGAGATGAGAACTCGGTGCCAGCAGCCTATTACCTCAGACCCAAGGCAGAAATGCTGAAAAGCAATAGAAATGCAGTAAGCTGCCTTTCCCTCCAGCCTATGGATCTGTCCATTACTACATTATTACCGTTTACATCATCCAGGGGTGGTTCTGCACAGAAAAGACAGAGTAGACAGAAAGTTACTCTGCCCTAGGCCCCCAGTTTTCCTTTTTTTTTTTTTTTTTGGAGACGGAGTCTCGCTCTGCGGCCCAGGCTGGAGTACAGTGGCGGATCTCAGCTCACTGCAAGCTCCACCTCCCGGGTTTATGCCATTCTCCTGCCTCAGCCTCCCGAGTAGCTGGGACTACAGGTGCCTGCCACCTTGCCCAGCTAGTTTTTTGTATTTTTTTAGAAGAGATGGGGTTTCACCGTGTTAGCCAGGATGGTCTCGATCTCCTGACCTCATGATCCGCCCGTCTCGGCCTCCCAATGTGCTGGGATTACAGGCTTGAGCCACCGCGCCCGGCCCAAGTTTTCCTTTTAAAACTAAATCCACACTGATCCTTAGGGAAACACAAATGAAAGCCACAATGCCAAGTCACTTTACACTTGTTAGGATGGCCATCAAAAAGTCAAAAGATAGTAGGCGTTAGAGAGGATGTGAAGAAAAAGAAATCCTGGTACATTGTTGGTGAGAGTGCATATTGGGGCAGCCTCTGTGGGAAACAATATAGCAGTTCCTCAAAAAATTAAAAATAGGACTACCCACTTCTGGGTATATATCCAAAGGCAATAAAATCAATGTCTTGAAGATATATCCGTACTCCCAGGTTCATTGCAGAATTGTTCACAATAGCCAAGATATGGAAACAGTCTAAGTGTCTGTCAGCAAATGAAAAGATAAAGACAATGTAGAAGGAAATTAAGGAACATTTATATACACACATACTGTGATATTATTTAGTCTTTTTAAAAGAAAGCAATCCTACCATTTACAGCAACATGGATGAACCTGGAGGACATTATGCTAAGTGAATTAAGCCAGGCCCAGAAAGACAAATACCGTATGATCTCACTTATATGTGGAATCTAAAAATGTTGAGTTCATGGTAATAGAGAGTAGAAGTGTGTTTACAAAGGTCTGGGATTTAGAGGAAATGGAGAGATGTTGGTCAAAGGGCACAAACTTTCATGGTGACTATAGTTAATTATAAACCTGAAATTGGCCGACAGAGTAGATCTCAAGTATTCTTACCACCCACCAAAACAAAGGTAATTATGTGAGGTGGTGGATTTGTTAGTTAACTTGATTGTGGTAACCATTTCACAGTATATACATGTATCAAAACATCACATTGTGCACCTTTAAAAATTGAACGAAAAAAAACTAAATCCAAAACTAAGAAACTATAAATTGTCACTCACCTTTCCATTTAGCATCTCTGACTTTCCTTCTAGTCTAATCTTCCTTCTTCCTGACGTATATCCTTTATAAGTTCCATCAAAGAAGGTTTACTAATGATACTGATTTTTACTTATTAATATTGGTATTATTAAATAATTAATAATTTAATGACATAATTAATTATTAATTCTTAATATTAATTGGTTAAAGTTCCATTAATGAAGCTCCCTTTGTTTACTTATCTGAAAAGTTATTGTTTTGCCCACTTTTCTATAATGTGTCCATTTATTCTGATTGGTATATGTCATGCTTCCTGTATCTGCGAATTCATGTAGTCTCTTAATTCTAGAAAATTCTCAGTCATCATCTCATCAAACAATGCCTCTCTTCTATTCCCTCTGCTCTTTCTTTGTGCTCCTTAATTATGTTTGCCTTCAGCCATCTCAGTCTGTCCTCTACGGCTTCTAGTTCTCTTTCACATAATCAATGAAAAGGGATCATTTCACATGATCAGTTAGGTTTACCCCAATATTCCCACCCAGAGAAACAATATTCTTACAGATAATTACTTTGAATAATACATGTGAAGGTGAAGAAGAAAAACATTAAGAAAATTGATCATGTGAAACTGATCATAATCATATCATCATAATCATGATCAGTTTCACATGATCAATTTTCTTATCTCTGTGCTGCTTTCCAGAAGATAACTTCAGATTATTTTTCCAGTTCACCAATTTTTTCTTCAGCTCTGTTCACTCTGTCTGTACATTGAGTTTTCAAGTTTGACAGTTACAGTTTTTATTTTGTGAAAGGTTCACGTGTGCATTTGTTTTCTGTGGGAGGAAGGCCTTTGTAAAATCTACCTAGCTATTATTTATAGTCTCTTTTTAAATTTTAACTTAATATTTTTTCTTTAACATTTTAAACAGTCCATTTATATTCATGCATCTTATGGAGAGTGATGGAGTGATTCATGCTTGAGCATGATGGAAACATTGTTATCTACTTTCCAACTTGGCTCCCAAGTTTTTGATATGTCCCTTAAAAGCAAATGAAAGAGGAAGAGAGGAGGGGTGAACCTGTTCACTGAGTAGAATATTTAGGGAGACTGCAAAGAAGGCATAGATATCCAACCCTCTGCCAAAGAGAATGTCCTTGATTCAGTCAGCACCCAGGCAGTTCCAAGAGGACAGCTGTGGGTTACCCACGGTTCTCCACTTCGGGATCTGTGTATTTGTCATTCTGTATCCAACATAACACATTTTCTCTGTACAATAGGAAATTAGATCAGAATCCTTGATTTTTCTTCTTTGCCCTCACACGTATTATTCAAAGTAATTATCTGTAACAATATTGTTTCTCTGGGTTGGAATATTGGGGTAAACCCAAACCATTTCCCAGTTAAAGATGCCACGAGTAAATATAGATAGCAAAGAACCTGATACCCCAAGAAACCAGTTTATACCATGATCTAGGGGATTTTCTCATATGTTACTATTTAATTTGCTTTAATTGTTTCTTCATTTATTTTTATGATCCACTAGGGAAATTGAGATTATTCCTAAAACCCCATATGATATTTCTGCATAAATTATTATTGAATAAATGAATGTATTAATAAGATTATCATCAAGACTATGTAAATGTTACTTTATTGGTAGGCATTCCTCCCATTTTATCTCCTAGTGGACCATCAAAACAAATGAAGCTAAACTAAATAAAGACAATTAGATATAACACAAGAGCACCTCCCCTTTAACTTTCTCTCCCCTTTCAAGGACACCAGAGATTATTTTCTTATGGCATTTGTATCAAAACTCAAATGGGAAAAGCATGGTATATAAGAAAGTCCAATAAACACACCCTATTTGGGTGACACCCTTGTGTAATTTGGTCAAGTTCGCATGCAACATGGAAATAATTTCTAACTTTCAGGGTTATCAAGGGGATTAAATTAGACACTGTCTGTAAAGCACCTATCATAGTATTGGCACATAGTGGGCCTTCAAATAATATAAATTTTCTTGTTCTTAAATATTATTTTTCTTTGATGATTGTAAGACTAATTTCTCCCTTTTACATCTCTATAGATGCAGCCTTCTGCCAACGCTGAAAATGAGAAGACATGGCAAGAGGTATCAGATGAGATCAAGAAGATATTCAAGGCTGCTGTAAAGCTGTTACACGAAAAGGGTAAAATGAAACACAGCCAGGCTAGGAGGTACCTGTTCTCAGGTAATTTTCCCACACCTTCAGTAAAATAAGAAATAGGTCATTAATAGGTACATCTACTGCTTCCCTTTAATGCCCTGCAAATTTAATCTCATTTACTGCCTGATGAAATTTAATTTTTCTAAATGTTCCTATGTTCTGGAGAAGCAAATGTTCTTTTGTTTTAATTCATAGAAAAGTCTTTCCTTAACTCGAAGGCTTCTCTAGAAAATGTGATTTTAAAAGAAGCCAGGGGTGGCCCCGGATATAACTGACCACATTCTGCCATGACTTCTCCATTGAGCTGTTCATTCATCATTCACCCGCTTATCCAGCAAATATTAATGAACCTGTTGGGTTCCTATGTGCCAAGCACTAGGGAGACAACGCCGAGTAAAAAGACAGGGTCTCAGGCCTCCTGCAACTTATTTTTTTAGAGGGAGGAAAATATTCATAAGTGATAGCCAAGTAATCAAATAAATGAACAAGATCATATCAAAAGTGATTGATAAGTATTGTGAATAAAATAAAGCACAGTCATAGGATAATAGTGACTGATAAAGAATGTGGGGGTCCAGATTTAGATAAGGTGGGCAAAAAGGAGTTGACTTTGGACCTGAATTACAGAAGAAAATCAGAGCTGACAGTGTCCTATGTATCTAAGGTAGAGAATTCCCAGCAGAGGGAGCAACAGGTTCAAGACCTCTGAGACAGGAATGTGCTTAGTTAATTCCAGGAGCAGGAAAAAGAAAAGGTAGCTTTGCTGCTTGTTTGTTTGTTTGTTTGTTTGTTTGTTTGTTTGAACTTTTACAAGGAGGGAGAGATGAGGATAGAACTTGAGCACAGGCCATAATGGGAACCTTATGTTTTATTCTGGGTGAGATGGAGCCATTGGACGGTGTGACACAGGGATTTGGTAGGCTCAAATTTAACGTTAAAATAAAAACCTACCCAGTTATTCAGGTATATTTCAGTCTATACCGTACCATGCATTCTGTGTACAGAGGCTCACCTGTTGGCCTTTCTCAAACATGGAAAGGAAGCTTTATCATTAGAAGTTGCTCAGGAAACTACAGAACTGAAGGAATATGTCAGTCATAGTTTACAGGGAACAAACACAAGTAGGTAAAAGTAGTCAGATTTGTAAGCATTTATTTTGAAAGTTGATAGTGAAAATTTATAAAGGGAAAAATTATAATAGCTACTTCTTCAGACTGGTGTTGGAATGGTGCCGCAAAGCTTTCGTGAAAACCTAAAAGGCACTCGGTAATCATTCTCACTGAATACATGCGTGTGAAGCTCAGAGAAGATACAAATCGTTCTGATAAATTTAAAAATTAGGGCTTATTTAAAGTCTTCCTGAAAATACCACAATCGTCAGGAATAAGTACTATATTTAAATATATAGATTAGGGTTTATCCTTGTTCCTTTGGAAACTTTAGATCCATCTTTGAGGCTCAGGCTCTTCACCTTTTTCAAAGACAGAACACCCCTGTTCCTTCAAGAGCTGTCTTAGAAAAAAGTACCTAGAGTGAAGCTTTCCTATTATTTATGTAAAAGACACCAGTTTGGGGAAGTTATCCTCTTATTCACAATCACACAGCTCCAGTGTTTCCTATTTCACTGGCAAACACTTGTCCTAGCTTTCTCCATAGTGAAGAATTCTGTCCACATGGATAGCCATGTGAAGATGAGAAATTTCACATGAGCTACTGCAAGTGGGCTGTTTCCTGCTTGGGGTTATATCTCCTGAATATATACATGCTCATGACAATGTTGTTTATTTTATGTTCAAACTCCTTTTAAGATCATGTCTGCACAATCAAAATTGCTGACGTGCCAACTCTTTCAAATGGATATAGTATACATTATATTTTTAGAAACCTTGAAATAAGAATACTGGATAGAACCTGTTAAAGGTGTATTATTTATCTTTGAATGTAATTTTTCACACTTCTTGTTTCACGTTTTTAAACAACAGGAGAGGAAGAGAAACAAATTAAGACTCTAAAATGGTGCCCTTCTGAGAACATCAAAACTCAGTGGCCTTGGGAATCGTAAAGAAATCAATTTCTCATGGATAATAGTTACCAGGACTGGAAACCTATTTCTACCATTACCTTCAGTGGGTGCTATCACTGGTTAAATTTCAGGACATTAAGAAACATGTAAAAACAGAAAATAAATATAACATTCTAATTATGCCCTAAAATTCTCAAATTTATAATATTTATAGATAGGCATCAGAAATTATGAATAAAAGTCCCCTAAAATCATAAGCATGCACTTTGCCTCTAAAAGTAACTCTGTAGAGTTGCCTTTGTATCATAGCTCTCATTTATTTAGGTATATTTAAGTCTATACCATACCAGGCATTCTGTGTACAGCATTTTCCCCCCCGAGCCAAGCTTAGATGGGCTCTGCCAAATTGGTTTATCTGTATTTCTTTTTTTGCTCCATTTATGATCAACACTTCTGCTTGATACACTCTTTCCATAAATGTGATAACAACGTCAAGTTAGAGTTGAGTTGCTTCCTGGGAGTCAAAGGTGGCAGAGCATATCTCTGATTATAATGCATTATATATAGATACTACAGTTTGACCGCTTCCTTTCTCTTCATGATGCTCTCAGAATGTAGCAAGCTGCTAATCCAACCTGCTAGCATTTTACACAGATGACTAGAAAAGAGATGGATCCAAGGCTGTTAGTAGCTCATGATGTCCAGATTTCTGGCATCTTCCCTTATCTACTTTATAGCAAGTTCTTACTCTTCCTTAAAAAGAGTAGTAGACATATGTTTATAAGCTCCTTTAACTGGCTTCCTTAACCAGCGTGCTCAATTAAAATCCTTTGTAAAATGTACCGATGCTCATGACACAGCTTACTAGACACTGGCAGCTACAAAAATATCTTTTTCATTTGAGTTAAAAATTTCCATTGAAAGGCTGTCATTACTGAAAAAATGTTATCACAAGAGTCCCACTGAAAGGCATCATTTTAAAATAAAATTCTCATCCTTCTTAATAGTTACATTGTAGAATATATGTATATATATTCTAGATTTTGCTTGACATTGGAGTTATGGCCAGCATATAATTTTTTTCAATTTATGGCCAGACCAGCACTGTGTATTCAGAGCCTCCCTGACAGAAATTTCACAATCTGAGATCAAAGCACCTGCAGATTCTGTGTCTGATGAGGGCCAGCTTCCCACTCCATGTGGCTGTCTTCTTGCTGTGTCCTCACAGGGCAGGAGAGGCAAGGGAACTCTCTGAGATCTCTTTTATATATGAACATGACTTTCATTCATAAAGGCTCTGCCCTCATGAATGAATCACCCAAACACCCCACCTCCTAATGCTATCACACTGGGGATTAGGTTTCAACATATAAATTTCTGGGAGACACAAACATTCAGTTTATAGCACTCCATAATGGATTATTTTTCTCAATGTTCTGTTTTCTCTCACCATTGTATCCTAAGCAGCTGTCGTCACACCTGTAATATAAAAGGTATTCAATGAAGAGCAATTAGAGAAAGGAAAGAGATGGGGAAGGAGGAAGAAAGGAAGAGCAGCCAATTTTAAGACTGCTTGCTTTGTAATTCATTTCCGTTAGCTTATTTTACACATTTTTTACACATTTTACTACTGATCCAGTTTAAATTTTTCTTATGGGGACACAAATTATTATAATGTATATTTACTTATATGCAAATATATGTATTGTAAGCCATAATATGTTATATTTTAGAAGAAATGAAGTTATGTACTAAGTCATTTTTTTGGTATTTGTTCCGATGGATATTATAACAGTGACATAGATCACCCAGATTAATCAGTCATCAGAATATGATTATATTTTGCCTTAAAATGTGCTTTTGGGCTGGGAGCGGTGGCTTACGCCTGTAATCCCAGCACTTTGGGAGGCCCAGGCGGGTGGATCACGAGGTCAGGAGATCGAGACCATCCTGGCTAACACAGTGAAACCCCATCTCTACTAAAAATACAAAAAATTAGCCAGGCTTAGTGGCAGGCTCCTGTAGTCCCAGCTACTCAGGAGGCTGAAGCAGGAGAATGGTGTGAACCCACGAGGTGGAGTTTGCAGTGAGCCGAGATCGCGCCACTGCACTCCAGCTTGGGCAACAGAGCCAGACTCCGTCTCAAAAAAAAAAAAAAAAAAAAATGTGCTTTTGTATTGATATTTGATCATATCTGACTACGACTCAATACACCTCAAACAAAATGGTGAGGTCACTTTGTTAAGGAAAGGCTGACAAGGAACGGTTAACTAGCTACATCCTTCAGCCTCCTCCTCTTTCTTTCCTGGCCCAAATGGGTCCCTGCTGTTCCCACTGAGAACCTCTGAAGTCTGAGAGGAAAACTGAGCAACAATTAGAAATAGTAGATATTAGAAATATCCACTATAAATTTGATATGCTTTCTTTATTATGCTTATGTCCAGCCTCTTCCAAAACTTGGGGAGAAAATTAGATAATTTTATGTAAAACCTGTTCTCCTGGGTTGCTGGCTGATCAGGAAAAGACAAATAGGAAATCAGGCAATTATTCTAAAGATTACTTCGCTATAAACCATAAGCAAAATAATTTACCACTAATGACTAAGCATTGACTATTGAGAATGTGGGTGTGTTGCTCCTTTGTTCTAAGCAATAAACTCCTTGTTATATTTTCTTTCAGCTATAGAGGATGAGTTTGACTTTGCTCTGGGAAAACAAACTCCAGCATTTCTAAAGAAGTGTGTTTGCTACATTAGGAAAATTGCTAACATTGAGCGCTTTGTGAAAATCCCAGAGATGGGAAAATACATGGATATAACTGGAACAGAACCGAGGATTATTCGGGACCCAGAAGCCCAAGAGAAGCTGATAAAACTCAGGGATGAATTTATTCCTACTATTGTTGCATCATCTAATCTGAGAGTGTACACATCTGTTACTCATTGTGACATGAAACTAGGCTACTCCCAAGAAATAGAAAATCATTACATCGAAGGACTTGGTAAACAATTTTATGAGGACATGATTGACATAATTCAGGCAACGGTACAACAGAATTTTGACACTGAAACTGATACACTCTATGACGAAATCCTTCAACATTCATCATTATGTAAAACATATGCCTCCTTCTACGAGTACAAATGTGAATCTCTAAACATAGTGCATAACTACATTCTTCCAAGCAAAACTGGACACATCAACCCTCTTATTATATATGGTGGGCCATGCACTGGGAAGACCCTTCTGCTAGCTGAAGTAGCAAAGAAGGTAAAAGCCTATTCTTTCCTGTGTATATTTGTAAAAGTTTGTACTTTTGGCAAATGGTAAATTAATCAAATTCATTTCTACTTTCTGCGTTTCCTATATGAATTAGAGTTGGTCTTTTAGGAGTGAATACTTCAGTGCTTCTTTTTTGCTGGTGTAACAGTTATATTGAGAGAGCAAAACTCATGGAATACAACTGGAAAGCAAGTTTAGTTTATTTTTTTCTTTCACTGTTCAGACTCATGTTCCCACCACCCGTCACCCCATTTGGATGAAAACCCAGGCCAATCTCAATAACTGTTCTCATCCCTTTCAGACAAAGACAAGCCCTCTGGCCACTCCTGTCTGCTAAATCAGTCTCAGTTCAGTAATGAATATGTCCAGTCTAAGGTGAAAATGAAAACATCGGTCTACACTTTTCTTCCCCATCTGGGGCCTCTCATAAACAAGGCACCTACAATGGGAAATGGGGATCTTCTTTCTTTTTCCATGTGGCACTTCTTTCTCTTCTTTCCTAATCCCAATGACATTTATGATTCCTATAAAGTTACAGTTTAGGGTATATAGGAAAGGTAAGGTGGTCAGAAAGTTCTTACATAACCAGTACTGTTCCGAACTGGGCTGTGAACTCTCTGTTCTTAGTACATGTTTAAAGCTGCCTCCCATCTCTTTGGAGACCTTTTCATGGCTTCCTGGAGGTCCTTCTCCTCCCGTACCTCTGCCCTGTCTTCCCTGAGCATCTCTTACCTACAGTTGCCTAGACACAGGGGAATGCATCTTTTTTCTAGCTGGTTACTTCCTCAGCTCCTAGACATCCAGCAATGTGCTTTCAGTACCTTTCTGCTAAGATCCTCTCTACAGCCCAGCACACTCCTTTGATAGGACCTGGGCAAAACGAAACAAACAGAAATGCTTGTCAGCTCACTGCAGCCTGCTGTCCACATGTAGCACATGGGAAACACTCAGGTATTGTGTTGCTCTGAGGAACTCTAGACCTCCGGGCCAGTCCCTCCCAGCCCTGCAGCTCTGTCTCACTTCTCCATCACAGCAGCTAGGCAGCCTCAGTCACTCAGCCTTCATGGTTTCCACATGTCACTAGGTACCAGATGCCTGTATCCCCAAGCTGTAGGGGGCATTCCATAGGTGGTCCACTAAAGTCCCTTCCTCTTGGCTAGAAGTCAAAGACAGGCATCTCTCTGACCTCCTTTTAGGGAGGGGGAGGTGAGAGAAACAACCCACAGCACCCTGATCCCCACCATTTTTCCCTGCCTCTCCAGTCTTCTTTTTCAGGCTAGCAGTTGGTAATCTATTAACAGTAGCAAAACTGGTTTTCAGAACCTCCCTTTCAAGTCCTGCATGATGGTCTGGAACCTCACTCTGGAATGTGGTATCTGCTGAGTTGGTTCTTCAGCCTAAACAGGATGAAACTAGTTCCATTATTTCTAACCTCCTCTTCCCTTAGTGTCAAAGTGTGGTGGTTTATTTTATTATGGTGTTAATTCTGAAGCTCTGCGTTGTTCTTCCTATGGTGACTCTCTTAAGAACAGAACTTTCTTTAAGTTCATGAATATTCTCATAACCTGTCATGTGCTACATAACCTCAAATCGGTCCTCTTGAGGACAAGAACAGAGACAGTTGCATTGCACTGTATGTGAGGATTAGGTTCCAAAGTAAGCCCATAGGTGAAATCAGGTATATTCCACTTACCTTTGAGAAGTCCATAGGAAGTCTAATTTGCTTTTTCTTAATATATCAAGCCCAGCTGGGTTTTCTGCTTGTGTTAGAAGATACAGCTTTTTCTTTAATTAAGCACTAGATGAAGTAGCAGGTTTGTATTTAGGGTCCACACTGCATCACACAAATTGTGTATGCATATGTTTGTGTGCCTTTGAACACGAATTTGTATCTTCAAACCTCAGAATTATTCCAAATAAGCAAGATAGTAACACCACGAGGGGCACATGAGAACTGAAACCAAATGAGTAAACATTCACATATGCCATTTGGTACTCACCCTAGGGCCCTTTTCTTTGTGGAAGAAAGGAGCATACAGGTGGTTGGAGGAAACAAATACTGTTCAATTTGACTAAGTCAAAGGTTCATGTGATGCATCTCCACATGCTCTAGCACAAGAGGTCAAGACTTACGTGGGACGTGCTGATTCCCTGCACAGATAAGCAGTCCCAGCGAGGCAGAGTGTGGTAACTGTACAGAGTTGGTCAGTTTAAGGAATGGCTTTCTGAGCTCTTGCTCTTCTGGATATTTTGTCCAATAGCCTGAGTCTGTCTATCCAGGAGTCGGGTCCTCCAAGAAACTGTGCCTCTTTTTACGTCCCCTGCCTGCGCTTCATTTACCTTTCTCCTGGGGAATGTCTGACTCACTGTCAACAACAACCTGTACTGTCCTGTGACCTCATGTCCCTTTGAGGATGCAGATAAATATCTCATTTTTATCTCATGTGTCACCCAGCATTTCCATGAGCATGAACTCGTGATGGTAGGGCTGTTCTCTGCAGACATCGCGTGTTCAGCAACATGTGACTGGGAGGAGGATGCCTATAGTTATCATAAGCAATCAATGTACAAACAAACAGGTGCTTTCAGATTTACCACCAAAGGATAGTTGTTGAATGACAAGATTATCTTCCTTGAAATCAGCTTCAAAGGTTGAGGCTCAACAACAGCAACAAAGAGTTTATTTTCCTTAATAGCTCCTTATAAAACTGTCCTCCATAAATCTTTCTAATCTTATTTGTGCCTTAACCTGAACTATCTCTCTTGAGGAACCAAAGTTCACAAACTTCCCTCCTAATGTGTAAAATCACTCTGCCTTATCTAAGGCATATCCTTTGTAAATTCCAAGGATAACTGAAAGACTTTATTTTCCTAAAAATACTCATTGGAGTATTTTATGCCTTGGGGGCATATTTCTTCTTATCCTGACCTTTCAAAACAGAAAGACTGAACTTAGCGGGTTCATCACATATTTTATCCTTTAATGCCACAGAGTTTTTAAGAAATGAAAGAATGAAAAGTCAAGTGTGACTTCTACTCAGGTTTTGTCTCTTGGTGACCATTTAACTCTGAGAAGTCATTTATCCAGCTTGGGCCTCCGTGTCGTCTCCTATTGAATGACACTGTAAGCTCATCCACCCTTCAGAGAAACAATGTGAGGACTGATGGCTGCATGTAAATAAAATCAACTATTTGTTACAAAGCACAACATTTAACAAATCTCTTTTAACCACCGTTATGTGGATTTTATAATAGATAAATAATAATCAAAATTATGATCCTATAACACCATAAAATTATCTCTAAATTATAAAAGATTATATTCAGAGTAATTTCAGTACTGAATATTTTTATTGCTTTCTAATTAATTGGAAATTTGGTTAGCCATATGTGACATTATATGCTCTTAATTAATGCATATATTTAACTTAATATAACATGCAAATCATTACTTAATCCATTCATTAAACACTTACAAAGGACCTACTGTGTGCCAACAGCTGCACCAGGAAATGGATATTCATTCAGTGATACAAAGCTGACCATACTAGATATTTATATTTATAATTCATGAAACACCTCATATCTTTTGGAATACAAGCTAAATGTTGCCTAATGAGTGAAAAATAGTATTATCACTATTTTAGTACACTCAGTAAGGGTAATCCTGAGGGTTTTATCTGTAGATTTTGGTACACAAGCTTCGTGGCAGTTCTTTGGCCTTCTTAAAAGGTTTTTCCAATTTTGGGTCCTAGGCTATTTTCTGCACGGTAGGGCTGACCAGAAGTCTGAGCTCTGGAGAGAGGCAATGTTATCACATATGATCATGTGTATACATATTACCATTCTAAACTCCACTTTTGTGTTTCAGGCTTATGGCTGGCTACATGAGGACACAGGACCAGAATCTGACCCAGTAGTCATCGTGAGATTTCTAGGAACGACGGATATGAGTTCTGACCTTAGGACTCTCCTTCTAAGTGTTTGTGAACAATTGGCAGTTAACTACCGGTGTCTGGTTCAAAGCTACCCTAAGAAGATCCATGACCTCTGTGACTTATTTATAAATCTTTTGAATGAGTCTTCACTGCAGAGACCTCTAGTCATAATATTTGATGCACTAGAGCAGCTCTCAGAGAATGATGACGCCAGGAAGCTTTGGTGGCTCCCAGCTCACCTGCCCCGCTTTGTCCGGATAGTCCTTTCCACACTGCCCAACAAACACGGGATCCTGCAGAAACTAAGGTGCCTTATCCATGAAGAAGACAACTACATCGAGCTGATTCCCCGAGACAGGAAGATGTGTAGCCAGGTTCTCAAACACCAGCTGCTGCGTGTCAAAAGGAAGGTCACATCAGGCCAGCAGATTTATGTGAACAATGCATTCTCTAAGTGCACACTGCCAATGTTTGTGAACTTGACCTTCAGGGAGGTGAGACACTGGAGATCTCACAAAGATGTCGATGAATCCTCCCTCGCTGTCACCGTTCATGAAAGTATAGAGCAGTTATTCTGGTCCTTGGAGAAGAAGTGTGGTCAGAAACTGGTCTCTAGGGCTCTTGGCTACATCACCATGGCCAAAATGGGTCTTAGTGAAATGGAATTGGAGGATGTGTTAGCCCTAGACAACAGTGTAATGAGCGAGCTCAATGAAAACACCAGACCCAGCAATCCCCTGAGAGTACCTTATTTGTACATTGCAAGGCTCAAGGAGGGTCTCAGTGGATACCTAATAGAAAGACATGTGAAAAATGTCACACTCCTAGTCTGGGCCAACAGACACCTGCATCTCATAGCCCAGAAGCTATATCTGCAGGATGACAATGACCTGCGTGAAATGCACACCATCCTAGCAGATTATTTTCTGGGGGTTTGGTCAGGGGGCAGGAGGAAAGCCTTCTGCCTCGAGGATCCCTACTTGAATGGCTGCCTTGACTTGGAGAGCAGAAGCTTGCTGGAGGAAGAAAAGCATTTCATGGAACAGGCTTCCTTTGACAGGCAGGCTCCAGACCAGCCCTGGGTTTTCCAGTGTAATCCCCTGGAACCTGACATCTTTTTCGTCAATCATCGGAAAATGTCTGAGCTTTTGTACCACTTGACAAGGTGTGGAAAAACCGATGACCTGCTTTATGGCATCATCATGAACTTCAGCTGGCTTTATACCATGATCAAAATTGGCCAGTTTGACAAAGTGCTTTCAGACATTGAGCTGGCTTACAACTACTCGCAAGAGAAGGAGCTGAAGTTCCTGGCCAGCACCCTCCGCAGCATCAAAAATAAGGTCATTGCATTTCCCGGCTCCCTTTCAGCAGAGCTTCAGCAAAGACTGCTACCTGTTGTCAGCTCCCTGCCCAAACTTAGACATCTTCTTTTAGAGTGTGACAAAGACGGGCCCAAATATTGCTCCATTGTACCACTGCATTCATCCATGGATGTGACATACAGCCCAGAGCGTCTTCCCTTATCATCCAGTCACCTGCATGTCACAGAGATCCTGCCTACCTGTAACCCCAGCACTGTCCTCACAGCTTTAGAAAATGGTTCCATCAGCACCTGGGATGTAGAGACTCGACAGCTACTCAGGCAGATCACCACAGCCCAGTCTGTCATCCTGGGCATGAAACTCACCAGTGATGAAAAGTACCTTGTGGTGGCTACAACAAATAACACCTTGTTGATTTATGACAATGTCAATTCTTGTCTCCTGTCTGAAGTAGAAATCAAGGGGACTAAGCATGGAAGCAGCGCCACCTACATCAATGGATTTACACTGTCCGCCAACCATGCCCTTGCATGGCTCGAAGCCAGCAAAGACGTCACTGTCATCGATCTGCTGTACGGATGGCCACTTTACCAGTTCCACTGCTGGTATGAAGTGACGTGTGTCCAGTGCTCCCTGGATGGTCTGTATGCTTTCTGTGGCCAATACCTGAACACAACCACCATATTTCATTTAGGGAGTGGAGAAAAGTTATGTACAGTGTCATCAGAATTTTCAGGTGGATTTGTGAAGTTTCTTCTTATATTGGACACGGCTCAGGAAATGGTCATGGTAGACAGTGAAGGAAGTCTTTCTGTTTGGAATACCGAGGACATTTCCAGCCCCCAGCTGACTGATGACTTTGATTGCCGAAGAGAAGACAGCGAGGTGGTCAGCATTGAGCTTTCAGAAGACCAAAGTGCAGTTTTGATCTGTAAAGCCCTCAGCATTGAGCTCTTAGATACTGGTCTGTGGAAGGTGGCTGAAAAGTTCAGAGCCAAGCACAACGAACGCTTTATATCTGCCGTGCTGTCTAAAAATGGAGATTGCATCATCGCCACCATGGAAAATACCTCAGCTGTGTTTTTTTGGAGGCGGGACACAGGACAGTGTATGGCAAGTTTGCGGGAAATCTCAGGTTCCATTGTTAAGTTAGTGAAATCCAGTCACCACAATATGCTACTATCTTTATCAACCAGTGGTGTTCTTTCCATCTGGGATATAGATATAATCACAGCTATGTCCAACATAGATAAGACTGGAAAACCCATCCGAAGTCTATTGTTGCCTGCTAGAGGGGAAATCATTTACTCCCTGGATGGATCCGATTGTGTTCATAAGTGGAACTTCAGCAGTGGCTTCATCGAAGCAGTGTTCAAGCATGAAGGAATAGTTGAACACTGTGTGTTAACATCCACTGGAGATGTAATGGTGACATCAGATGACAAAAGTAGCCAGTATGTCTGGCACACCAGCAGTGGTGAAAACCTTTTTCGAATTAACGGGCAGAGAATATCTCAGCTGCTGATTACACACAATGACCAGTTTGTGGTCTCGCTCTGCGAGGAAAATGCCTCCAGGGTTTGGAGGCTCGCCACAGGCCACAGGGTCTGCAACATTCTGACCACTTTGCAGAATGCCTTTATTACCTCTGCAAATACCTTCGTAGTGGGAATGACTAAAAGCAAAGTGTTGGCAGTCAGTCTCTGGACAGGAAGTATCACCAAGAAATTTTGCTGTGAAGATGGGACCACCATCGTGAATTTTAAATTAATCCCTGACTGTCCTGATATCGTCGTGTTTATCACATCGGCCGAGACTGTGAACATCTGGAGTCTGACAGATGAAGTGATCTGTCGGCGCGTGCAACTTCCAAACAACTTCTTGAAAAATCTGGAGGATTTTGAAATTTCTCCCAATGGAAAGCTAGGCATTATATCCAGGGGAGATGAAAACATCAACGTGCTAGATTTACACAGTGGTAAATTGCGGGTGGTTCACGCCTCTGGGATCATCTGGCGGCAGAGGTTGTCTCGGGATGGTCGCTACCTGGTATACATTTGTTTCCGAAATGGGGAGGAGGAGGATGAAAATGGTGCAATATTCAGTTTAATTGTAATGAGACTGGCAGATGGCAAAAATATCGGTGCTTGTTCCCTTTACAAAACACCAACTTTCCTTGCACTCTCTCAGAGGCACCTGAACATCATTGTGGGCTTTGATGATGGGAGTATAGGGATATACACGGTAGTAGACCGTGTAGATGCTGCACTGAAAATAAAAATTGCCACTTCAAATAGCAGACAAATTTTCAACAATGCAACACACACCTCCAGGCCAAAGTGTAACAGTTATTGTTTTAAAATATCTGTGGATTGCTTATGGAGAGAGTCCACTGAGGTCTTTGCAAGAGACAGCCCCATCACAGTTAGTGACTCTACTGAGTCCAATGAAGCAACACCCTCCAAGAAACACAACTCTTGTTATGAGCGGGTGTGCTCAGCCCTAGAAACCAGGGGCCACAGCTATGCCCCTGATAACTGACAAAATGTTTTCCAGCTAAGCAGAAATATGTGATCCACATACAGAAGAAAGAAAAAAATGTGCCCCAAATGATAAACTATTCATTTCTTAAAAGACAGGAGCAATGCTGGAATTCCAGTGTTTTATTAAGATGTTCATGAAATGGACAAATAGGAGGTTGGTCTTGGGTGCGGTCCTTTTGTCAAAGTGTATCCAGGAATGTCAGAATTTGTAGTAGTAGTATTTAAATGGTTACTTCATCTGAAAGGCAGCGGCTAAAAGTTTTTAAATTAGCTGTGTGGTGAGGCAGCATAATTCATCCCATTGGTTAAGATGAGAGAGGCTAGAGTTATATACAGATCATTTGGATGGGAATTAGTTCTACAAAAATCAGCTGAAATCATGAAGACAAAGAGATGCTTGACTTCAAATGATTGTGCGATAAGTAAACATAGCCTTAATCTCTCTTTACATTTTACAGTCCTGACAACTGTGTACACCTAGTCTGCAGTGAATGGTCTAAAGGTGCAAAATAATGTAACAAAAATACCTAAGTGTATTCCCAGTTTCCCAAGAGATATGACCTGAAATGTGAGACTGTGGACTGGACTGGGACAAGAACTAACTACCACTATCATAGGGCTACTGAACATGGAGAGTCAGTCTTTATTAAAATACAGTTGCAACAATTGCATGCAAGGGTTTCTGTATAACAGAATATATGATTTTTAAACTATTTACTGGGTTGCAAAAGAACACGTTTAATAAGACACAACAATCTTTTCACATCTTTTTGAAATGCATATTTGTGCTGGTGTAAAGAAGAATTACAGGAAGGGCATTACAAATCTGGTCAAAACACCTGTCCATTTACATCATTGTACTAACAGAAGTCTGTACTATTTGGTCAGTTGTATGGGAGCATAAATATTCCCTAAATTCCTGCAGTGAATAGGAAGCAAGCTTTCTCAACATGCCATCTCTGAGATACTGATGACGTTTGCCTTACTCACATTCCTTCTCTTTCCTGTGTAAAATGCAGATAGATGACCAAATACTCTGGGACAAACTGAATATGCCTGTCTTTGTGCTAAAATATTCCATAAATCTTAAGGGTGTCCAAAGGTTCTTTATTGTCCTTGTTTGTAATCACTTTCTTACTTCTACATGCCATCTGTATGCTTCTTTATCTGTTACTCTTCCTGATTAAGGACTCTTCTGAGCCTTTTATAGTGTTATCCATTTCAAAGCAGAAGCTGTGGAATGGTATTAAATATTTTTTAAAACTACTTCACCTGTTTAAAAGAAAACATTACATCTCAAAAGGTGAAGATGAGTGTTCTTTCTTCCATATCCTCCTCATGGCATGTCCTTGGATAACTTTTCAAAAGGTATCCACGCTTTTGGTTTAGTTTAGTTTTCTTAGAAAGTGGAGAAGTAACAATTTACTACAATAATGAACTAGAAACTAACTGATTTGCCGTAGGTCCAGCTCTGCTATAAATTCATTGTGTATTCCTAGACAGGCCTTTAACCTCATCAGTGTGTTGTTTTTGTGGAGTGCAAAATAAAGGTAGTGATAGTTTCTGCTGTAGCCCTCATAGGGACATTGGGAAGCAGTATAAGAAAAACTTCAGCAACATCATGATTATTGATGCTAATGGGGAAAATAAATTCATGTAACCCATAGAGAATCCAAGTCAACTGTATTTCCCTTTGGAAAGCAGTTTAACATGTAAGCTTTCAAAGATGTGATTCAGATAAAAATACCCAGCTCCACAGTGAAAGACTTTTTGCAGTATGTTACTTCTGGTTTAGCTACTAGCCAGGGAGGTGGTAGCCCAGAGAAGGCAACCCACATACAGATCACCTGGAGTTGATTATATGCGTCTACGCTTTTGAGCTCTTTAGGCAACACATTCTCATTCCTGTCATTATCAGTTGAACCTCCATGCCACACATTTCTAAGAATTAAATGCCTAGATGGATTAAATGTAGTATGTGAATGTTCTACGTAAAAGCCAATAGAGTATACAAGTGACTTGAATGATTTTTCCTAACTTGTTTGCAACTGATAGCTCATATTGAATGTTTTTATGTAAACTTTGTATCGTTGGGAAGAATTACCCAATCAGAGATTTATATTTTCATAAATGTTACATTTAGTTAAATTTTGTTACAGAGTTGTTACACTAGAAAATTATTTCAGTCTTCAAACAATATACAGTCTTGTGTATGTATTATTTGTATGAATAAAAGATAAACTACTTAGATTGGCGTGCTGTTTTTCTCCCCCATTTTTGGCAGATGTGATTAGAGACCTCCAGTAATTATAACGGTTCATGCTTACTGAGTGCTTACGTTGCACCAGGCACTGTACTTGGAGCTTTGCATGTACTAAGCCATTTAATCTTCACAACAGCCCTGTGAAGTAGGTACTGTTAGTATTCCAAATTTATAGGTAAGGAAACCTAGAAACAGGGGTCCAGGGAGAATAGCTGAACAAGATTTCAGTGCAGTCTCAGTGTCTTTTTCCTTAACTTTCTCAAGGTACATCAAAATAGAGCATTTAGTATTTAGTAGGCACTTAGAGATCAATAATGACCTACAAGATGTTTTCTAACTTGCAGGTGGGAGACTGGGCTAGCTCTAAAAATCACTGAAGGTTGCTGCAAACTCTCAGGTTTTTCAGGTATACAGAAATAGTTGATGAAGTCATTAATAGAAGGATAAGGAGGAAGGAGAAGAAGGATGATGGCTGAGGAGTCATCTCTCTCATAAATTCCCTTTGGGTGAACAAGCAGGACCAAGGGAAGCCTTCCCACATGCCCTTTCTTCCATCTCTTGCCTCTTGGATCTGAGAATCCACACATGCACCAAAAAATATTTTTTACAAACAGAAACAGAGCAGTATTGGTGAGCTTAAGTGATAATACGTAGGAACTATCTGAAATCTTGTATCTAGTTGTCATGAAATAATTGTTCTCAGAGAAACTTTAAGATGTTAAGAAAATAAGAAATTATTCTGGTTTATTGCCTACATCACGTGGCTGAGACTAACGAGTTCAAAATTTACCACCACTGAAGATGATTCCATTACTTCCAAAAGGTAATATCCTTTAGGTTGAAAAGGTTAAACCCCTCTCCTTTTAGTTCTCAAAGGAAATGTAGAGAAGTTAATAAATATTTGCAAAAAAGCACTTCAAATAAATAGAGTTTGTTTAAATATCTTCTTTCCCAGGGTCAAGAACACAACAGTCAACAATGTATGCTTGCTCTGCCCGAGGCATTATGCTATATCCTGGAATTATTTGAAAAGTCACGCATGATTCCTGCCATCCAGAACCCTACAGTCTAGAAGAGACACAGCTAAACCAGATGAGACTGATTTCAAAGCTAGTAAGAGTGAGAGCCAGGTGCTGAGGATACACTACAGAGGAGCAATTAACGCTACCTGAGAATCAAAAAGGTTGACCCAGAGGAGATAGAGCTGAGGCTAGAAGAATGATTAGGACTTACTTGTCAATGTCAGAGAGACATTTCAGGTAAAGGAAGCTGCATGAACAAAAATGGGCGTTGAAGCATATTTCAGGTGACTGCAAATGCTGTCAGGATTTTAGACTATTCAGTAGTCAATAGTGTTACTGAAAGCCAGGGACCCAGCCTAGGTCCAGTTGCTCGCTACACAGAAAGCCAATCACTAAGGCAATGAGTATTATCAGGGAAGAAGGCTTTATTATGGGTGATATCAGCCAGAGAGACAGGAGACAAGACTCAAATCTGAATCTCCCCTGGCTAAAGTTGGGGTTTATATGGGGGGAGAAAACAGGCAGGGCAAGGAAAAGGAGCTGATCAATAGGCAGCAGGTGTCTAGCATCTCACTGTAACCTCCTATAGGAAAATAGGAATTAGGGAGAATTAAGGAAGAGGAATTGGTTAACAGGCAGCAGGTTTAAATTGCTCAAGCTTCAGTGCTATGAGCATTTGGCTTGTTGGAAAATTGTGCTGGTTTCAACAGGGAGCTGGGAAAAAAAGTTGGGGGAAGGGCAGTTACTTTGTCAGATGGCTTTGAGATGGAAGAGACCAGAAGCTGGAAGACCAGTAAAGACCATGGCAATGATCTCAGTTAGAAAGTGTTAGAACCTGATTTTAGAACCTGCTTAGAGTAGGGGCAATTCAAGATTTATTTCAGGGCTTAATGGATAGAGGTGTTTGATGAAGGAGAGAGAAAACTCAAATAATTTCAGTTCCAATTGAAACTGAGTAGATAGAATTACGAATGTAAAGTGCACAGGGGATGAAAGTGGGGGAAAATCATAAAATAAACTTGGACCTAGAGAGTTTAAAAATAAGACACCATCTAGCCCATTAGATATATGCTATGTATCCCATGGAGAAATCTCCACTCAGTTCTTTCTTCCTCAGGAGCCCATACTACAATGCCTAATGTGGTGTGGGGAGTTTTTTGGGTTATAACATAAACTGATACCATAATTTTTTAAATGTTGTTTCTTTTTTAGAACTCTTTCACAAATTTGGAACCATGTTGATAAATCCACTCAAACTAGCTTTCCTATCTTTCATGACTCATTGGCTGGGAACTATTTATATGTTAATGAAAACATGGGCACACCTAAAAAATGAAGTGAATCATGGTGTTTTCACCCTGGTGTGCATTAAGAAACCACAGGTTTTTCTTCCATATGTTTTACAAGGGCCCCCTCAGACAATCTGGCATTCCAAGAGATCTGCAAGAAGTACAGGTTACACATTGTATGGACACATGGAGGGTTCAGTTTCAGTGTATCAACATGACAAATTACAGAATACTGGTAATTTAGGGAATACAAATAAAAGCAGCACCTCTAGTTTTACAGAGTGCCAGCCCTTACTGTTTAATAGATGAGGGGAACTACTTGTGCATATTCGCAAACTAGAGTAGGTACCACTTGCTAAAACACAGATTTCTTCACCCTCTCTCCCCAGCTATTTCTGACTCAATACGTCTGGCGTGGGGCCCAGGAATCTGCATTTTTACTACATTCTCTCAGATTATGCTGATGCTATTAGTCTAGGAACTGCACTTTAAAACCCAAGACAGGCTGGGCGCGGTGGCTTAGTTTGCAATCCCAGCACTTTGGGAAGCCGAGGCGGGCGGATTGCTTGAGCTCAGGGGTTCAAGACCAGCCTGGGCAAGTTAAGGAGAGCCCACCCCCACCCTAGTCTCCACACACACACACACAAAATAATAATAATAATAATAACACAAAAATTAGCCGAGCATGGTAGCATGCGCCTGTAGTCCCAGGCACTCCAGAGGCTGAGGTGGGAGAATCCCTTGATCCCTGGAAAAGGAGGTTGCAGTAAGCTGAGATCGCGCCGCACTCCAGCCTGCACAACAGCCAGACCCTGTCTCAAATAATTAATAAATAAATAAATAAATAAATACAATGAAACCCAATACAAACACCAAAGCCTTTTTGGACAGATAATCTACCTGATAAATGTATCAATATCCTAGAGACAATTAAGTGTCGACTATAAGTTGGACGTGAGTGCCGTTCATTGTTATAAAGAATGTAAACCACATATAACTTCCTGCAAAAATCTACCACTTTACAGCGTGCAATCCCAGCACTGCAAAATTAGAAGGATTCAAAAAATTGAGTCTTCAAATTTTCAAAAGCCTGGCAAACATCATGGGAATGGGGCTGGAATCATTAAAGTAGATACATTGAAACCCCAAGGACACCACGTCCATCCTTAGATAATACTCTGTCCAGATACCTCTGCAATATCCTGTTTTATTCTCTTGCTGGATGAGTTGAAAAGAAGAGAAAAGAGAGTAAGCTAGGTGGCGCAGTTGCTTAACATATTTTTTGGCAAGCCCAGCATTTGCTTTGGGGCACAGGTGAAAAGAATGTCCAGTCCTTAAGCAGAGTCAGTTCTCCACCCACCTTAGGTATACGGATTGTTAACAGCCACGAATGTGGAGCTCAGTGGATTGGATGCAGTGTTGTGGCCAAGGTCATGAGACCTCAGGAAAAGAAAGGGATGGTGGGGGAGGGGTGAGGAGGGGACGAGGAACCAGGAGTTCATTGAACTCCCACTGTGACCTTTAGCGTGCTGGCCAGGGTGTGCAACTTCCCTGGTTTTTATCGTGGTGGTGGCGCCCCCGCTGTTTCTAGGTCCATGTAGCTCATACAGGGCTGGCCATGGAGCTCACAGCAGGTCTAGGCGGCGAATGCCAGAAATAAGGAGGAAACAGAAAAATGCAAGTTCGCGGGGTTTGGGAGTACACATCTATTTGCCAGGGGGTGCATTTGTTTATCCCCGTACTCCAGTCCCTTGGTCATAGGAAACTCCCTTCTCTCCAGCGCAACACTGGAGTAGGCATCACGGAGTTTCCAGGGATGGCAGGCGTCTGGCACGGTCGTTTGTGCTCGGAGAACAACAAGCGCGTGGATTTTCTGCTTCAGTGTGCCCGGGACGGCAGCCCCGGCCCCGGGGATGTCGGACGTCGGACTCCAGGGGTTCGAGCCCTAGCCCCGCCGCATCCTCGGGGCGTGCAGGTAAAGGGTTACGCGTGTCGGGGAGGCTCACCCGCAGCCCGGGCCACGTGACGCGCGGGCCCAATGACAGCGCCGGGGCGGCCGCTGCGAGCTCGGCGGGCTCCGGGCAGCGCGGAGCCGCTAGCGTTTCCCGGCGCGGCCGCCCGAGGCCGGCGAAGCCATGGGCGCCGCGACCCCGCCGCCGCCGCCGCCGCCACCACCGCCACCGCCGTCCGGTCTCAGGTAGGGACAATCCCCCGCCCCGCGCGCGCGAGGAGGGCTTGAGTCCTGCGGAACTTGGCTTTAGGGCGCGCTTTCCCCTACTTCACTCCGAGGCGCCTACTTTTAATTTTAATTTCTTGATTTGCTTTTGCCCTGGGAAAAAAAAAAAATTAGAGTCGCAATTCGAAGTTTGATGACTTCGGGAAAAGTCACGTAATTCAACAAAGGGGCTCTAAAAGGGGCAAAACTGGGGTGAGGGAAGGTGGACTTTTACAGATTCCCAAAGCTAAAGACCAAGGTGTTTGTAAAGCTTGGCGACTAATTGGTTGTGTGAAACATTTTTGCTTTTAAATCCCTAATTAATGAACTTTCAATGGTGCATGCGAACTTGAAAACACTGCCAGAGATTTTCCCTTAGATCTGTGCCCTCCTCCCCCATTTTAAGTATGTTTTTTAATAAAAAGGAAATGGAATGTGACCTCTGCTGTTTCTTTGAAATG